AGCGATTGCAAAAAACTTGGCATCAAGCGATTTTGTTGTCAAGTGGGGCACCACTGTATAGCCCAAGAAATGATGTGAATGTAAGGTTCTGCCATTACAAGCCCCCCAAGTGTCCTAGATGCCAGAAACCCTGCCAGCACAATAATAAAGTTGGTGATAATGCCCACGCTATGTTACTAGGACTGCACGTTTCAAGATTTTTTGGACTACAAATCACATAATTCTTTTTTCTGTGAGGCCCACCTGCAGGACCCAGACCTTACAGACACCTGAATTGTGCTCACCTGGAGAGAAGGCCCAGCTGGGCAAGCTTCAGGTCTTGGAAAGGCCTCACTTTCTCTTTGAAAAAGAAGCTGGCTGTTTGCTGGGAAACTTCCTTTTCAAACAGAAAGTTAGGCCTTTCTAAGGTATGAAGTCTGCAACTCAGGCCTTCTCTCCAGGTGCACAGAATTTACCATATTTTTCCATGTATAAAACAACACTTTTTAACTGAAATAGACAAAAAATTGAGGGTTGTTTTATACACAGCAGACAGCCGCTTTCCTTGCCTTTTGTGAAGCCACAGGGTAATGCAGCCATGAAAGCTCTTCAGGACCAAAGGGGTGCGATCATGCAAATTTTCAAATTTGGGGGTTAGAAAAGGGGGGGTTGTCTTGTACATTGAGTCATCTTATACACAGAAAAATATGGTAGGTGTCTATAAGGTCTGGGTCCTGCAGGCGGGACCCCTACAAAGGCTAAAATCTGAAACACGCACCCCTAGTAATACATAGGGGATAGGATACAACTCCATCTTACAAAAAGTGTTATGTGCTTGTACAGATATGAAAATGACTAGGATCTGAACAAATTACACTTTTCACATGTCATGTCAAATGTCTGCATTATCTTTTGATTGTTATAATCTATATTGGAAAGCACAGTACATGACATTACAAAATTCCTGCAGTTTGCCATTTCTTAGCTGCAATAACTGTTTCCTGCTGTATAGTGGAGCTAAGAAATGGCAAACCGAGTAGGGTACAAGTGAAAGTTGCCATGTCTATGCAAAGCTGTGCACTGCAGTTGCTTTTCTTAATGTTCTAAATACAGTGCACTGCACTAAGTGTATGAGTTTTCCATCCAAAAATATTGAAAAAGAAAGATTTAAAGTGCAATCCAACATGGGTCAAATCTAAAAGTAAGTCCCATTCAGTTCAGTGTGGCTCACTCCCTGGTAAGGAGGGATTGCAGCCTTAAGGAGAGAACCATGTTATAGCTCTAGCAGTACTTCTTTGAACCTAGAATTATTTTTGGATTTTTCTCTAAGTAGCTCTAACAAATAAATGTATAAATGTTACTAATTTCAATGAACAACATGCTTATGATGTTGCAATTGTCTTACATACTAGGACCAAACCTTGGCTTCTGTGTGCTGTCCCAATTAAAATTGCTGGCCAAATGCAAGCTACAGGTTGCAGGTGACACCCACAGGCAAACCACAATATACTTTACATTAGTAAAGGGCAAAATCATTACAATGTAAGGCAAGAGGCCAAGGAACACAACAGGCAACACTAGCCCCTGTGATTTGAGACTAAGCTGCATGCATGCCTGCTGATCTTTTCTACTACTCTATGTCAAAATTACTTATTTTTCCCCTAGCAATTGGTGACACCAGCAGAAGAGGCCGCACATGAGTTGGTATGTTCCCTCCCAGCTGTTATGAAAAGGAAGACTACATGAATGTGAAGCTCTGGCATGGAATGCTCAATAGTTAAGCTGAGTACCATATCTCATCTAGCACAGTGTTTCTCAGATTTAGATTCTCAGATGTTTTTGGGCTGCAACTCCCAGAAATCTTGGCCAGCACAGCAAATGGTGAAGGCTTCTGGGAAGTGCAGTCCAAGAACACCCGGGGACCCCAGTTTGAGAACCACTGATGTAGCAGATTTGGAATACTTGAACTTCATAGTATGAGTCATGAAATCTATCGTATTTGTTCAAAAATTAAGCCACTTAAACTTACTTCGGAAAGGAACTTTAAAAAACACACCTATGAAAATTGGATTAAGAAGTAAGGTTAGTTGTATTTACTACAGAAAAAGAAGTTAAATTTATGAATAGAACAGAATTCCCAAGTTTAATTTAGAAAAAGTAACTCTTCAACACAGTCATTACTCCATCTCCAAAATATTCCTATACTATAATATACAATGCTAGGGAAAAGTAATTTGGCACAGTTCCCTACATTCAGAGAGCACTTTTAACTTTCATCTGTATAGAACAGCTGGCACGCAGAAACTTGCCAGAATTACAGTCTAATTCAGTGGTTCTCAAGCTCACATTTCCAGATGTTCTTGAACTGCAATTCCCAGAAGCCTTCTCCACTTGCTGCATTGGCCAAGATTTCTGGGAGTTGCAGTCCATCTCTACATAGCACTAAGGATGCAAATCTAGGTAAGCATCGTATTAGTAGATATAAGTATGCAGAAACCAAAAGTCTACAAAAAGTCTTCATCGCTAGCACATGCCTCTGTTAGCAATTTTGGGCAAATAATATAGAAAGAGGAAAGACTTCTGATTTTTTCTTTTAATTGCTGATTGCCAGCAGCTTTAATAAAGCTGCTGATTGCCTGTATCAATGACTGTCACAGATAACCAAGATAATAGACATTTTCAAGTAGCATCTAAGTAAAAGTGTGCTTCACTGGATAAATTAGATCAATGGTTCTCAAATTTGGGTCCACTCAATAGGTGAGTGGGGAGACTCAGCATTCCACCTCCTTCCCGGACTGGTCAGCAGTACAGGGAGGTGGGGAAGCCCTACCAGACTACTTCCAGGATTGGCGTGGTATAAATGACAATGGCTGCATGTGCTATGACGCAAGCAGTAAGTGGACAGCCTGGTTCTGAGGGGAGGGTCTAATCAGCCTGGCCACCTGTGCTGGTGATACTGCATTTGCTCCCATCAGGAGAATATGAATATTCCATCTACCAGACTACTTCCAGGATTGGCGTGGTGTAAATGACAATGGCTGCATGTGCTATGATGCAAGCAGTAAGTGGACAGCCTGGTTCGGAGGGTCCAATCAGCCTAGCCACTTGTGCTGGTGATACTGTATTTGCTCCCATCAGGAGAATATAAATATTCCACCTCTAGTCCTATGTTCATGTGCCACAGCATCAAATGTATAAGGCACACGACCAGTAGACAAAGGACTGTATAACTTTGTGGGCAGCCATCCCTATCCAATTCTAACTTCTAATGAACTACTTTAAGTCTCATCTTAGAACAAATAAAAAGCAGAATATAAAATTATGGGCCAAAATTCATCATAACTGATTTTGATGGGAGAGATTTAAGCACTTCTAAAATCTCCCAGTAGGAAGAAAAACTGCCAAACTGTGGACTGGATCAGATTATGGGTTTTGATGCTCTCATCCTAAATGTGCTACTTGGTAATAAACATCACTAAGATCAACAAAGCAAACTAATTTTTTAAAAATGAGAACAAATTAAACCATTTATTGAATAAAGAAAATATTATATTGTTTGATTATAATATACTGTACAATGTAGCTGTTAAAGGAAACAGTAATTTGAAGCCTAATGTGGCATATAGAGCTCTTGCAACCAGGTTCATGTGAATTTTCTTTTTCAGTGTCTGATGAAACCTCCATCAACTAGCAGTTACAACTGCCTCTGCTTGTGCCGAGGGTGAGTTTTACAATACACATATAAAGTGCCACGCCTGCGAACAAAGAAACAGTCCTTGCAACGCTTTCTGGGGATCAGCTTGCCTTTCATACCAGCAACAGGTTGCAAGTTGAGAAGTGTCCAACGCATGAGAAAGGGCTTCAGATCCATGCTATGTGGCTTGGTGGCTGGTAAGGCCTGCAATGGGTTGAGAGGATTTGGGCGTCCCAGCAGCCAGGAAGAAAATGAGCAGGACATCGAGTTCAGGAACCTGGGTGACCTGGTCAGAGAAGCCACTGCATTCCTCAAGGGCAAGAGAGCCATTGGATAGAAGCTTTGAAAACAAGAGAAAGTGTCAGTATAAAATCCAATAAATCAATTCTGCAGCCCCAAATAAGCTAACAATTTTTTTGCAAACAGAAGAACATAATCAAGGCTCACTTCTTAGGATGCATAAGATCGCACAAACGTGATCCTACACATGTTTAAGGGGACCTATATGCCAACAAATTCACTAGTATTTTTACACCTGCTTATGTATGTATGGCACAGAGCTGCGTGTCTGTCCTGTCCCGTGTCATACAACTCAGGAAGGCGACTAAGGACACGCTCCAGAAGGGAAGCTGAAAAAGCCCTAGTATTTTTACACCTGCTTATGTATGTACGGCACAGTGTCTGTCTTGTCCCGTGTCATACAAGTCAGGAAGGCGACAAAGGAAACGCTCCAGAAGGGAAGCTGAGAAGCTTCCTCCACCTGGTTATTGTTCAGATGCTAACTACAAATCCCACCCTCCCAGCAAGCCTAAGGATGATGGGAATTATTGTGCAACACCTCTAGGGAACAGCAAATGGAGGGAGGCTATACGAGAAGAACTAAAACCTTACAACATAGACCCGTGTGTGGGGCCTTCTGTCCCATTCCCAAAAGCCCCAGGAACCAGCGCGCATGCGCACTTGTCCTAATTTAGGGCCTGCACAAAATTAAGTCTCCTCATGTTCAGTCAAGCCGGAGCGGGAAAACTTCTTTCTCACTCTCTTGCGACTTAAACACCCTTACCTGTTCGGCCGCTGCCCTCCACTTCGAGAATCTCACGACGCAGGTCCGGCGCTCGGCAAAGACTTCGGCTTTTCCTGGACGACTGCGACGCAAATATCTCGTAGCCGGACGGCCGGTCACGTGACCCTTTCCTGCGCCCTGACGTGCCTCCGAGCGCGTGACGTCAGACGCCGCCCCGCCTTTGTGGGTGGAGTTTTGCTTTTACTCGGCGAGCGGCGATGCCCCTTCCTCTCTAACGCTCTGTGGTTTACGCGTGCGCAGTCCCCAATTCCTATTCCCACCCGGGACGGAGGGGGCTGGTGAGGCGAGTGAAGGGAAAATGGCGGCGCCCGTGCTGCCCTTGCGAGGGCTATCCCGGGTGGGTTCCGTTTTGACGAGGGCCAGCGTGACTTCTTTTTCGGCGCTTCCCGCGCTGAGGAGAAGCTACGGGACAAGGACATCCCCGACCGGCGAGAAAGTGACCCACACGGGGCAGGTGAATAACCCTCGTCCTCTGCCGAAGACCGGCGGGGCAGGCAAATGGGGCTACGCTGTCGGCCCTCGAAGCTGGGCTCCCGGTGCCTTCCCTGCGCCTCAGAGGTCGGCCTCAAAGNAAAACCGGCACAGTTCCCCCCCCCCCCGCAGTCTCTCCCTCTTCCTGACAGATAGATTGCAATCAGTGAAAAAATGTCTTCGTGGTGGGGTGGGGTGGAACTACTGGTAAGTCAGTGCGAGGTGATTTAAAAAGAAAACATTAAAAAAAGAAGAGTCAGAACAGAGGAGCTGTCTTAATCTCTTGACGGTTTCGCGGGGGTTGATGTCAATGAGCTTTCTGTTCTGCGGCTGCTGTGTGATCTCTTTAAAAGGGCGCTTTTTGCAAAGCGGTGACAAGGATGGCGTAGCTTCCCTGTTGCAGCAGCTCCCCTGCCTGCGCTTCCCTTTTCTGGACACAGTGGAAAATGCTGTTCTTTTTTCCTTATAAAGCCTAAGGTCAAAACTACTGGAAAGTCCACACTCCCTTTTGTGAGCCTATTCGGATTTTAAAGTCATTATGCCTTTTTCTCTGCCCTGCAACTCCCACTGGTGTCTTTGATAAGGATATCAGAGAGGGGCTGCTCTGTTGCTGTCCCCAGTCTGTGGGACTCCCTCCCACTAGAGGTCAGGTTGGCCCCTTTGCTCTCTTGCAGGCCATGGGCTTTTTCTCAGTAGTAATTGGCTATCTGAAACAGCCACCTCATTGATCAGGTGTATCTGATGAGGACACAGGAGAGGGCCTTCTCTGTGGTTGCTCCCAGACTTTTGAACTCCCTCGCACAGCAAGCCAGGCTGGCCCCATCTTTGCTGTCCTTCCATAAGCAGGCAAATACCTTTCTCTTCAGGCTAACTTTTTCTCAGTGACTGGCTAACTCAGCGTGATTTTTAGAGGGACTGTTATCCATTACCGCTTTGACAGTGTTTTTTTTAGTACTGCTTGTGTTTCCCATTTCTCCAAGTGCTATTTGTTTGTTCCTTTTTATTAATTGCATACTTACTGTTTTAGCTTTAATGCTGTCTTTTAGTGATGTAAACTGCTGCTTTATACTCATTATTCTTAACTTTAAATATTGTCTTTTAATGATGTAATGCACACTCATTGTTTTTAGGTTCAAATGTTGTATTTCAATGATATAAGTTGCCTTGGGTCCTTTTCAAGGAGAAAGGCAGGGTAAAAATATTTTAAATAAATAAAAAAGAGGGTACTGCTGGTTTTGCTCCCCACTTTCCAGTTTTTATATTGGTTGTTTTTATATTGTAAGCCACCTTGGGTCCCCTTGAGAAAAAAAGGCAAAGTATGAGTTTGCCTTTAAATAAATAGTAGCAAATGCAACTTCAAAGCTGCATTTCATGAAATGGTAAGAAAAAAACAAAAAATGCTTGAGTAGGACCAGTGGAACATAAAAGGGCTTCTTTTTGGTTTGCTTACATTTCTTGTATATGAATGTCAGCATATATATATACAACTCTTCTGTTTGCACTATTCTGAGAATACCTAACAAATACAGTGGTGCCTGGCAAGGCGATGTTAATTCGTTCCGTGAAAAACGCTGTCTTGCGAAAACATCATCTTGCAAAACGCGGTTCCCCATTGGAATGCATTGAAATCTATTTAATGTGTTCCAGTGGAAAAATCATCTTGCGAAAATTGTCCATAGGAAACATCGTCTTGTGAAACGCATTTCCCCATTGGAATGCATTGAAATCGTTGCCTTGCGAAAATTGTCCATAGGAAACCATCGTCTTGCGAAGCGCAACAGTGATTGCAAAAACTAATCGTCTTGCGGATTGTTTTGCGAGGTTATCGTCTTGTGAGGCACCACTGTAAAGATAAAATGGATAAAAAATAAACTTTCAAAAAAATGTAAAGAAGGGTTTTTGTAATTGGAAACAATCATGTGGAAAAATCAGCTAGATTTGAGAAGCCTGCACAGATACACAAATTTTATTCTGGTAGTGAAAAACGTAAGATTTGATATCAATTGACTAAATTAGTTGTTCACTGAAGGAGTACCTGGCTATGGAGTCATGGCTTAGGAGTTTGATTCCTTGGTGTTCCTCCCAGGAGAAGATGCAGACTGTGTAGTCTTGGGCAAACTGCACAGTCCCAGATTGCCCCCAGAAGCAGGAAACGGCCACACATTTCTGAGTATTTTGTGCATAGGAAACTCTGGAAAGTGTTGCCGTAAGTCAGAATCAACTTAATGGCTCAACTATATTATTGTAAATCTTACACATAGATGGCATTCTCAGTGGTAGCATGCCCAAGAAAGCCCCTTATCAGATTTTCTCTTGTTTCATTCCAGAAGGTAGAAATAGTTGAAGGAAATTCATTATACATTCATCCAGAAGTAATTTCTACTGAATGTAGCAAATGTGTTTAGGAGAAAGTTTTAAGTGTGTCATGTTTAACCTTGGGAGTAATATCTGTGGGGCAGAGGTAGTCACCCCAAGTGTTCTTGTTGGGCCACATTTATTGCCAAATTTTGACTACCTAAGTCATAATTCTTTGGTACTCTCCAATACTATATTTTCTATGGTGTGTGTGTGTGTGTGTGTGTGTGTGTGTGTGTGTGTGTGTATGTATGTATGTATGTATGTATGTATGTATGTATGTATGTATGTATGTATATGTGTATTTTTAGAGATGGGGTATTGTGTCATGTCCCAGAAGCACCTAATGCTGGTCCAGCCCCTGGAACTGGCCTGTCCACTCATATGTCCCGGCGCCTCCGTCATCCAGATCTTCCCACCAATTGCGGAAGTAGCTCCTCTGTCTCCCTGCTTGATTGGCCACTCCAGGCAGGGGCAGGAGGAATTGTTATGTCCCATCATGTCACCTCTGATTTATGGCACCCTTATGAATGAGCAGTGTCTAAAATACCCTGTCTTCAACTGCCTTTCTGAACACAAGCTTGTGTCTTCCTTTAGGGTGGTGGTTCCCAGCTTTTAGCTGCCCAGAGTACACTTCGGTCTAGATGGGTGGGGTATAAATTGAATAAATAAATAAATACCCATATGTTTTTTGAGAACTCTCAAGAAATCCTAACAAGTACAACTACTGGTGTAGACTTTGGGGAGTTTGTCCAAGAGCATCTGGGAAACTAAGGTTGGGAACCATTATTTTTGGGAATCAGTCCGTTTTGTAAATTATGAGCTCTAAATCTACATACTTTAAATGCATTAATACATTCAATTTAGGATCATCAGATAAAGAGTACCCTTCAACTTAGTTCACTGTTTCAAGAATCAGTCTTCAGAATTTTCTCATAAATGAATAAGTACCAAAGGCACAATAAGGTTTTTCAGGTAAGGTGGAACTGTACCAGTTTTATTTACTATGAGATTTAAGATGCCAGTGGCACTAATTTTGTACAGATTTTCTTTCAAATGTGAGGAAATTGATTTGGCGCATTCTTCCAAATCGATTAATCTATGAATTGTTCTAGTTTAGCATTGAGTATACAGTACCAAGTTTCTTCCAATGTCATAGTTTCCATTCCTCATATTTTCAGCTGGAAACTTACTTCCTAGTGCCTGTATGTCATAGCTCCTTTTTTTTGGACTCCTGTTTCCCTGAAACCAGAATTGAATGTCATTTTAAAAATTGGGTAAGTGAATTTTCTTCTGTTTCAGGTTTATGAAGAATATGACTACAGAAGAGTTAGATTTATTGCACGACAGAAAGAGGTAACACCTAGGTCAAGATGCATTTTCCCTTGATTCTTTTTAATACATTGTACAGATTTCAGTTTTTGGACTACAATGTCTACAATACCCCAGGGAATTGTAGGCCATAAACCTGAATGCTTGTACTGTTTATAGAGAAATATCATTGTCTTGTAAACATGTGGTGAATATTTTAATCAACAGTCATGTTAAAGAATTTGAACTGAACCAGTTATACTCTGCTAAACTGCTGTGAGCTTATATGACATAAATCGCACATTTCAACTGAAATCTTTTTAACTTGTGGGAGTAGGATAAATTCCATTTTGAAATGTCTTCTTTTGTCACATACAACGACATCTTGTGCTGCCCAAATAATTGGCATGTGTAGTTTGTTTGTTCTGGCCTAATGTAAAAATTACCTGGTGCATATTCTAAAAATGTAATTGATGGGAATTTAGTTGCTTTGCCTGTACTGTATGTGAAGTATCAGTTTGCCAGAGGCCTGTGCTCTGCAGTACTATGTGGCTGTTGTTCCTATATGTATTGAAGATTGCAGTCAGCTATATAGATTGGTATACTGTTCCCCCCCCAAATCCGTCAAAGTCCATGTTTATATTGGGCCTGGCTTGAAAGCTGATGTCAGTGTTCTGTTTGCCTCTAAGTAATTCCCCATCCTTTCCTCTCTACTGCAACCTCCACTAGAGGTTGATAAACCTCTCTTTAGAATGGGTGAACTATCAGCAAAGTTTAGGAATGTGGGATGGAGGGCTGCACTGAGAATGACCAAAAGAGCTTCCCCTGAAATAAGATCTTACATAAGATTTGAAGGTTTGTTCCTTAAAAGTGTAATTCTTTATTGAGTAGCACACAGGCTTGACATTAGTTGGTGACTACTTTTAGCACTTTCTTCACAGTATGATAATGGCGTGCCTGCATGTTAATTTTCACAGTGGAAAGGAAATTCTGTCACAGTCGAACAAAATGCAGTTGTGATATGGTATTTGATATATACAATTTTCTGTCATTTGCATTTGCAGTGTTGTATTTCTATTTCAGGTCTCTTTGGAAGTAATTTTTTTCTGTTGCCTTTGCTTTGTAGCCTAGTCCATTAGGGTAGATATTGACAGTGGAGTGTAGTTCCATGGGCAGAAGTAGACGCATCATAGAATCAGGAGGAAGGCAGTTCTCCCTGCAGCCCTAGTGCAATCTCCTCTCCTCCCCAAAGCCATCCTTATCTCCCAAACACCTGCTCCAAGGACTCCAGCAGTTCAGCTTCCATCATCTTGGTTTCCCTTATGGAACCACTCCTGTCATTGGAAATACACCATTGCATTCTGACCTTAGTTTCAAGTTAATGTTGCAACAGCTCCTGCTCAAGTTAAAAGTGGCACAAAGTATTAGAACAGGCAAGGTGGAAGAGAAGGTCCCAAAAGAACCAAGGAGCACTTTCTTTATTACATAGAAATACTGTCACAGACAAAATCAGTCTGTTCTGGCTTGTTCTGTGCCTCAGACTTCTGCTGTTTGTATAATAGCAAAGGCTGTGGCTTCTTCTAATGTTGACTATTGAAAACCTTTCTATTTTGCCGTTACAGGTGAATGAGAACTTTGCAATTGATTTAATTGCAGAGGAACCTGTGTCTGAAGTTGAAACTAGAGTTATTTCATGTGATGGCGGTGGCGGAGCTCTGGGACATCCCAAAGTGTACATAAATTTGGTAATTTAATTTAACTATCCCTGCTTGAACCCTGTCTTCATTCTCTTGTCTAGTGACACTGTTTTCTCTTATTGTAGCCACCATCTTATTTAGAGGGAAATATGTGTATAATAGAGGCCAACCGTTGCAGTCCTCTTGGAGTATGATGGCAGTTGTTTTTCTTATCTGTTGTGGAGCAGCAAAAATAGAGACTGAAGTGGTGGGGGAGCACAGTACACTGCACAATAAATTGCATTAAGTTTTGTGGGTCAAAAGTTGTGACTAGTTAAAGTGCCTAGATAAATGGATTTAGTCAAAATAAACTTGTGTTGTGACTAGTTAAAGTGCCTAGATAAAAGAATAGTTTAAATGGATTTAGTCAAAAGAAACTTGTTTGTAAGAATATTCTAAAGGTTAAAATGTATTTGTTTCAGGATATTATTTCTCTTCCCATGTTATGTCCACAGTTCATTTTTTAATGTAGTATCAACTAATATGCATGAACATTAGCCGTTGTTCTCCCTGTTTTGCTTTTATCGTGGCTTGTTAGAGCAGCTTGGTTGTACAGTAAAAGCTTTTATGGAACATATTTTTGAGCAGACTGCTTTGTTTTAATAGGTTATATCTTGTTAGCACAAAAGAAAGAAACACTTTGCTCATCTGGCCTTGTCACTTTTTACGGTTTAATTGCATTTTTCATATTGGTAGAGGGAAGTGAAAGCAAACTGATTAAAAAAGAGGTGAACTTGATAGGAGTGGCTGGAAAGGAGATAATAGGCAATTGTTACAGTTTTGCTTGAGTAACATCAATATATTACCTTAGTTTTGGCGTTTGGTAGACATAATCAAGATCATTCTTAGTTCACACTAAAATATGTATAATTCAGATAATTTAATTTGTTTTACATGTTCAAGTAAAGACAGACTCTCCTCCTCTCATCTTTATGTTTGGAAATACATTAGAGTTCTTTCTATACTGGATTAAAATAATTAAAACCATCCTTTTTTCCTGTCTTGATGGTTAGTTTTTTATTGAATCAAATATGATACAGCAGGAGCTAATTCAATCTATCACTTGTGCCTCACATTTCCGTCTTCAGAATCAAATACTATTGAGTTCACGGCACATGCTCTATAATTTCTGTGCTTAGGAATATGATTTGGAGCAGATTCTATAGAAATCCTTTTGAAAAACAGTGGAGAGGACCAAGCTGTGTGTCAACTTTCAAAGCAAAATCACTCTTCTTATACATGAACTGTGCTGTTTAATGTACCAAGATGTATTTGTACTGACACTGTATAAGAATCTTTTTACAGCAGTAAGATAGAATTGTAATTAATTTCCTCTATCACACCATTTTGCTGTTTGCAGGACAAAGATACAAAAACAGGAACATGTGGCTACTGTGGACTGCAGTTTAAGCAGAAGCACCATCACTGAAATGAATTACTTTATTCTCTTTAGAGGTGGCAACTGTTCTATTATAGTATTAAATATATATTTAAAATTTCATTGTGTGTGTCATTTATTCTTAAGGCTGTGTTTTCCCTTTACAGAAACTATGTTGAAGGTTGAGTGTTTCTTTGTTAGGTTTCTATGGTTAAAAAAATTCTAACCAACTAGAATTAGAGCCACAGAACTATGGTGGTGAAAGAGACTTACAGATCTTCCTGTGCATTGAATTGATCGCATTTAGGGATAACATTAAATTAGGAATATGCAAACTGGTATACTCCATATATATGGAGAGAGAGAGAGTATAAGCAGATAAGTGAATCAGTGGATATAGATGCAGCGGATACAATATTACTGTATTGCTAAACTATGTTTAATTGAAAACACAAGCGAAAGCTTTTGTCTGGGAAATGGAAAGTATCGCTACTAGACGTTTGTTCATGCCATGGCAAACCATAGATTAATTCTTAAGTGAGTCTAGAACAGACACTTGTTTTGCCTTCAATAATACTCTTATAAATATTTACAAACAGTGGTTTTTCTTACTTATATGGAACCATTTCTAAGTTGATGTTTGTGCCAAGTAATCCTGTTTAGTTATCATGGCACTTCTGAAAATATAGAGGGTTCTCAGAAGTTTTCTAGTGTATTCATCTCCTTCATGAAGTGGGTGGGTATTGAGAAACCAATAGGCCTAAAACACACCCATCACCTTACAGCTGTCTTTCAAAGAAGTTTTCTAATAACAGTCTTCTTATTGAAGAGCTACTGATGAGCTTTTGGGGCTGCAGAATGTCTACCAGTACATGGACTTTAAAAAAACAACACAAAAAACATTTGTGAATTATATGTACAATTCTCAAAAAAAAAATTGTTTTTTTTTTAAAATAAACCTGCAATTTACTGCTTTGGGGAACAGATAATAAGGATAACTTTCCTATAGAAGAATCGTTATAAACAGTTATCTTCTATGCTCTGTTGCTTCTCTGCTCATTTGAACTCTAGGGAATTTTAAATATTTTATTTGATTATATTTTTAGAGTACAGCATTGTTAGTCTTCCCTGCTTTCCATGATTTAACAGAAATAAGAGCGTCATCCTGATTTTGCAACATGTGACCAAATGGAGCGAATTACAGTTCCCATGTTAAGAGCACCTGCAGTGTAAGAAAGTACATATGTGCTGTTGATCACTTAACTTTTTGTTCTATTTGCCTCAAAAAGAAAATGGTCCAAGATCTGTTCTTTTAAACTACCCAAAGCAGTTCACAAATAATGAATAATGCTTTACGATTGCCCCACATTATGACGAATCCTCTTAACGACGATCTTGCGATTGCAATTGCGATCGCAAAACGGTCTAAATGGGGGAATTTCGCTTTGCGATGATCGGTTCCCTGCTTCGGGAACCGATTCTTCACAAAACAACGTTTTTCTAACAGCTGATTGGCAGTTTCAAAATGGCCGCTGGGTAATTAAAATGGCTCCTCGCTGTGTTTAGGGATGGATTCCTCGTTATACAGGCAGCAAAAATGGCCACCGTATGGAGGATCTTCGCTGGACGGTGAGTTTTTACCCCATTGGAACCCATTGAACGGGTTTCAATGCGTTTCAATGGGTTTTTTTCCCCGCTTTATGATGTTTTTGCTTAACGGCAATTTTCCTGGAACGGATTATCGTCGTTAAGCGAGGTACCACTATAATAAAACTAGTAGCTGAAATAATAGAACAATAAAAACAGTAAAGCCATTTAAAATAATTCATGAGAAGAATAGGTAAGCAGTTCTTTGAATCACACATTTGGGTTTCCTGAGCATGCACAGAAGCTTCTTGGAGCATTCTAAGAGAAATCATTAAGAGATTCCTCCCCCATTGTGCATATCCTGCCATATTGGCTCAGTTCTTTTTAACCACTGTTGAGGAAACTTCTTTGAAACCCTGTGTGGCGATCATCCTGCTTTGGCTCATGTAATAGGTTATTTGCATACACCAATGGGAGCTGTTGGGAGGCGGAGCCAGAGAAGGGAGGGGTAAGTCAGAGACGAAAAGTTTAGGGAGTTCATTCAGTTAACTGTCAGAGAAGTTAGTCTGTGGTAGTTAGTGTGGCAGAGTTAGGAGTTAAAGGAGGCAGTTAAAATTGTGGAACTTATAGAAAGTTAAGAGAGTTAATAGTGAAAAAGTTATTAATCTAATGAATACTTTAAAGTCTGCAAAGAACATGTTTAAGCGAATTGTAACTAATCTATTTTGTTCAACTTTATACTCCGCTTAGACCTCAATCTTTCTAATTTGAGGGCGTTAACAGAGGTCAACTGGTGGCAGTGTAAAGGAGGGAACGTGTCGTGGGTCTCGGGCTAGTGAAATGACCTGGGGACATGTAGGGGCACATCACATGCTTACTAGAACTTGTATAGTTGTAAACCTACCTTGTTTCGTTTATCCATTATAGCCTTTGTGTCTTCCCCCTTCAAAATGTAGCTACCATGGCAGTTTGTACATGAGCAGGTGATCCTTCAGTTCTCCTGGTTTGAGCGAAAAGTAACACCTTAGATGTGAGTCACTAGACTGGCAACTAGTACAGGTCTTTTAGCACAGGAGTTATATGTGCATTCTAGGATGTTCCTCTGAAGAGCCTGGCTGGTGCAAAGGTAGCCTCACAAGACAGCACATTACAGTAGTTCAGTCTTGAGATTAGCAGCACATAGTTCGGTGTGATTAGGGTTACAATACATGGTGTAGTGGATAGAGTGATGGACTAGGACTCGGGAGGCCTGAGTTCAAATTGACTATTCAGCCATGGAAACTCATGGGGGAGTGGAGGTGGTAAAGCTACTCCTTAAGCATCTCACTTATCTTTAAAGCTCTATTACACACACTATACTGTACATTGGTTCTGACCTTATGGCACATAACAACATGGTTGTCATAGGAAAAAGGATTGCTTCATCTTGCAGGCAAACCAAGAATCCAGACAGAAAAATGAAAATACATACAGTGGTGCCTCGCAAGGGGGGCACTCTGTTTAATGACGAATCTGCATTACAATGAGGTTTTTGCGATCGCAAAACGCAAAAGCGATCGCAAAACGACGTTTTGAATGGGGGAATTTTGCTGTGCGACGATCGGTTCCGTTTCGGGAACCGATTTTCGCTTCCCGACGATCAAAACAGCTGATCGTCGGGGTTTCAAAATGGCTGCCGGGTGCTCAAAATGGCTCCCCGCTGTGTTTAGGAGCCATTTTTCGCTGCACAGGCACCCGAAAATGGCCGCCCCTATGGAGGATCTTTGCTGGACGGTGAGTTCTTAGCTGATTGGAACACATTAACCAGGTTTTAATGTGTTTCAATGGCTTTTTAGTTTTCGCTTTACAACGTTTTCGTTCTACAATGATTTCGCTGGAACGAATTAACGTAATGTAAGGCACCACTGTATACACATAGTTAAGCCCATAGAAATTTACAGATGTGTACAGAGGGAAAAGAACAGACTTTCTGTCTCAATTTGGGGGCACCAAGATATATATGAGCAGAGAAAAACGGTTTTATACATCTAGAATAAAAGAGGAGAATGTGTGCCACTTGCTGATGGCAGAAAACTAGAAGTTCATATACAGTAGTAAGAAACCATCCAGAGGAAGAATGCTGAGCTCACCATTCTGGATGTCCAGGTGATGAATCTGTAAAGAGTGTATTTGCTGCTGTTTTGTTATGTTGGGTATGTTTCTGAAAAGTTCTTTTCTGCAGAGGTGGGTTATCTTTGATTCACACTAGCTATTAGGTTACACTTTCCATCTACCTTGGTCAATCCAATAGACTAATGACTGGAGTGGCAGTCTGATGTTGATGACATCTGGTGGGCTCTGAATTGCCCATCCAAGCTCTGAGGGGAAAAAAATACTGTACAGGCAAAGTTGGTTCCCTCCCCCCACAGTGTCCCCCCCATCTTTGAATATTTCCATTAAAAGGTAACTTGAATGCCTCAAACAGACCAACTAGGGCAGAGTCAGGGGGTTGTCATATCGAGCAGGGATATATTTGTGCTGGTGCTTTCTACAATGCAGTATGTGGCAAATCACCTGTTTCCTTGAAGAATAGTCACAAATAATCAAACACCATTGTGAGTAACTTTTTTCACAACTAGGCTTTCAAGGAAAAGTTGATTAGGGAACGTATCCCTGTCTGTTGCACAACTGTTGTACGTAGGTGCAAGGCTTACACTGTAACTAGTCACGTCCTCTTTGCTTGTTAATTCACTCTAAATGGGCCTGCAGAAGTAAAATAAAAATATAATTTTTCTGGGAGTCACATATTATTATGTATGTATTTATTTAAACACATCCCACCCTATATTATAGGATATCAAGGTGGCTTACAAAACTGTATAAAACAATCTTAAAACATAAGCTTTGTAAAACAATTTAAAATAAAAACCACAGAATTAAAACACTCCAACATTAAATACATTAAAACATAGTGCTCAACCCCATACAGACCACAATCTTCAGTGTCATGGCCATTTGTCCTAGGATGGGGAACTTGTAGCCTGAATATAGTCATCTCAGCCTAGTTTCATGTGGCCTTCACTATCCAGCAACTCTTTGGGCGTAGCAGGGCCACAGGAGGTTTCCAGGACACCCATCCTTCTCTTGTCACTTGCAGATGGGTGGATGAGAGATATGGGGACTGTGAGGTGATGGGGTGGCCTAGAAACAGAACAATCTGGGTAATGGTGCTATTCATCCTGGCTCTGCCCGGCTACTGACTTCTTCCATTGGCCAAAGAGCCTTCCTAGGAAAAATAAAAAGTTCACTCTTCCTTCTGAGTTAGCCTGATGTCTTTCTGAAGCTTCTGAAGTGATTTCAGTGTTGCAATAATGCACTTTTCAGCTCTTATCAAGTTCAGCAAATGTATCTGGCTCCTTTAAGATTTGCTGAAATCATTTTTCTTTGTCATGTATTGTGGCAGATCCTGCCTCCTTCTAAGTCAAAAAAGGGTCTCCTTTTCTGAATTTCTCTCTCTGTGGAATTTATTGCTCAGTCTTGACAATTGCAAAATGGAT